GAGATTCTGTAGCTTTGGATCTGGAGGACCAGGTCCTTCATGTGCTCCAGCAGTTCATAGATGGGGTAGATGTTAGGGTGGACTAACTATAACCCCTGCATCTGGCCCTTGGGGGTAATTTGGTTGGTTATCCCACCAGCTCTCTCGTACCCAAACTATCAAGGCCAGCTCCTCCACTTTGCCCAGGTAGGGGTCAGGACCAGCTCTCCTGCCTATGGCAGATGGCAAGAGTCAGAATCAGCTCTCCTGTGCTCATGCCATCAGGGACAGTGCCCCTGCTGGGCCTGAGTGCTTAAGCCAGGGAGGTGGTGGGCAATCTGTCCTTTTAAAACACACAGGGAATGGCCAAGATGGTGGTAAGTACATGCTTATAAAACCAGCACTTGGAAGCAGAGACCACAGGAGATTGCAACAGGATCAAGGCTGAATATGGAGGAAAGATCTAGAATCCCTACTCATGATTGAGGTTTCATGTCCTATCCAGCCCGTTTGCCACATTCCTGGATCTATGTTTTTCCCAGGGGAGAAGGGTGCAGGGATGAGGGCTTCCTTAGTTGAGTCATAGTTCTACCTTAAAAGATTTTCACCTTGACTAAATCTCAGATCTTAAGGACCTCCATGGAGTAATGATCATAGCACCCAGGTTTCCAGGGTGCTGTTCATATGCATGAGGACTCCTGTGATGTTAACTACACAGGTTCTGGTCACATCTGTGACAGCAAGCTCTCAAGGCCAAAAAGACATAGCAATGAAGGATCTCAGGTTGTCAATGTGTCAAGTCAGGCCTTCCCAGTGGGGGCTTCCAATATAGACTAGGACTCCAGGAGAGGCAGTGTGAAGCTTTGTTTGCTCTGAGCCAAGCCATGAGCTCCTTACAGGAAAGGGTTTTCGCACCTGGAATAAAAGAATCTGACAGGGCAGCCCCTATGAACCATTGAAGGCTCATCTCCTGGACTTCCCAGCATGAGCAAGTGCTCTCTGGAAATGGGGGGACCCTCTCTCTTCTGGTAGCATCAGCCCATACAAACCAAGCGGTCCCCCTCTCTGAGCTGGCTAACATGAGGCAGCTAGTATTGAAGACTGAAAGTGCAGAGATGTGAAGTGGTAGGCAGTACTGGGTTGACTAAGTGTAGGAAAAGAAAAATGGAGATCTTGTCTGGGAGAACAAAGGGTTTATTGGACTCAACAGGGGGACACTGATCTGCACATGTGGAAACCCTGCAGGACCCAGATGTTTATGAATGGACAGGGATGGCTTAATACCTGGGAACTCTGACTCTTCCCTGTGTTGTCCACAGGCCTCCAGGGCCAAGAGTAGCAACAAAACAAAATGGCATTCCAGGAAGTACAGATCTGAAAGCTCTATAGAGAAGTGGGGAACCTACCCCGCTATAAAGGGCCTATAAAGTTGAGACAAGGTGTTCCATAAGGTGAACACCCAAGCTCAGAGCCTCTTTACCTCATAGTTCCTCACTAGAGGGTTCCAGGAAGGAGGGAATACACGTGATGATAAAAGAACACAGGTGGAAGTTGGTGGAATGTCCATTACAGCAAGGTCTGCAGGAGGACTGAGCCCAGGCTGAACAGAAGCACCACTGCCGGGGACCTGGTGCTGCCTCCAGTGGGAATTGCTACATTGCAGAGGTCTTTCTTGCAACAGAAAGAAGTCACATTTGCAATAGTACTTAGGATCTCGACATTTTGAAGATTAGTAGGGCAGATTGGATAGCACATACTGTTCTTCAGTTTGCGTATGTGAGAGCCTGCAAGACATCAGGGAGTGACACAGTTCTTATGCAGGGACAACTGAGCATCTGAAAGTCTGGGCCACATGCCACCAAGCCTGGATGTCTCTAAGGCATGTTGAAGGCAGACATGGTAGCTCAGACTTATAATTCTAAAAGTGGAGAATATTTATGAGTTCTATTCCCAAACTCGGTTTCATGGGGACTTCTGGGCTATCCTGGGTCTAGAAGGAGACCCTGCCTCAAATAGCAAATGAATCAAAAATCAAAACCATGGTCTGGTAAGGAGGCTTGGTGGATAAAGTGCTCGTGTGCACAAGCGTGAGCCCCCAGTGCTGACCACTAGAGCCGATCACAAGAAGGTCAGGCATGGTGGCCTACTTGTATCTCTGTGCTTAGGATAAAAAGATGAAGATCTCTGAGGTAACGTCATGGGCTAGACCAGCTCATCCTGGATTCATTCATTTCAGTGTGGGACCCTATCAGAGTAAATGAAATAGATGTCACAGAAGATACCCATCAAGTTCTAGGTCCCATACACTGGTACCTCCCCAGGGCATGTACATTCACACAGTATACACATGTGCCCTTACATGCCATTTGCTGGGGGAGCAGCTTGGTCAGTGAAGGGCTTGCCACATGGAAGTCCAAGGATCGAAGATCAATCCGCAGCAGCCATGTAAAAAGCTTGGGAGTGCTGGTTATGATCTCTGAGCTGGGTGCGAGGGGGATTTAGGAGGTCCTAGAAGCTCTCTGCTAACTCCTCCCCCTTCCCCCAGCATCCTTGGCAAATAGTACCTCCCATTGAAGTTCTTGTCAAAAACAAAAACAAAAACAAAAAAATGTGGTTGAGACTAGAGACTTGGCTCAGCAGTTCAAGCACTTGTTGCTCTTACAGAAGCCCAGGGTTTGGTCCCCAGACCCCACGTGGTGGTTTACAACCATCTGTCATTCCAGTTCCAGGGGAACCAAAGCTCATTTGCATAATAAAGTAAACAATGCCTAAGGAATGGCACTTAAAGAATGGTTCTTAGCTTTACACAACTTTTATTACATACATTAATATATGTGCACCCACATTTATACACACGCACACGCACACACACACACACACAGACACACACACACACACCACAGACACAGCACAGTGTAAGATCACCCACTAGCACAGCACAAAGGGCAACCAGCCTCTCAGACTCCTGAGTACCCCAGGCAGTTATATCTAGGAGACCTGCTCCAGGAGACAGGCAGGCTGTGGTCAGAACAGGAAACTGGATAGCAGGGAGGGGCTGCTCCTGCCTTGTCTATGTGGAGGATATGCCTGGAAACTGGCACTTTGGAGGATCTGAAATGACCTAGGGTCTCTTCTATCAACATTCCTAAGTCAGTCCTTTAGCCTAAGCCCCAGATTCCTTCATTAAATGCAGACTCACTCAATGCTTCCAGTTCTCCTGGTCCATCAGTGAGCCTGTGAGACCTCAGACACAACATACAGGCAGGAGCATCACATGACTACACTGGTGACACAGGGGGATGATGAACACCATGCGTGCCAATGGGCAGCCCTGTCTCATGATCCCCATCCCAGCGCATCCCTGGACCCCGACATCCATCAGTGTGCAGGAGTCCCACTCCAACCCCAGGACAGCTCTAATTGGAGGGAGGGGAACCATGGTCCATAACAAGTGCCCAGACATGACCTTTCTCCCAATCCAGTCTGATCCATTTTTATATAGTTCACTTACCCACAGCAAGTTCTGTCACCTGAGTCACACAGAATGGATTAGACTTGAAGCAGGTAACTGATGAGCAGGGAGCCTCAAGTGGGACCCTCTGGCAATTGTAGCACTTCAGCCCCTGACCTGAGAAAGAAGCCAATACATGAGGGCTAGGACATGCCCTCACTAGACCAGACCCCTCCTCCACAATGTCTCTACTTCCCTACAGCTGCTGGTGACTAGGATACAGCAAGGACATTACTGCCCAGTCACCTCCACCAACAGCAAAAGTGAACCAAGAGCCACAGTTGTTCAATATGCTCGGTCCTGCTGTCTCACCTAGTCATCCCACATGAGAAACCTGCACCCCAAGACAAATTAGAGAGACAGTCACCACATTGGGAAGACAGAGATACCAAATGTCTGCTGAAGCACTGAGTGGGTGTGTATGTATGTACTGGGGTCACCAGATGGGGAGGGCTGTTCTGACCTGTCCTACCCTAACCCTGCAGAACTGGGCCTTGGTTCTCTGAGCATGACAGAGCACTGAACTTCCCAGAGTCCTGCTTAAAGCTGAGGCTCACCATGAGTCCTCCTGCACAGATGTAACTAGACGTATAGGCGTATAGGCGTATCTGAGAGCACTAATCCTCTTAGAGTAGGGAAGTTCTAGCATTGGGGCTTCATGTGGCATGGGCTGGGGCATAAGAAAAAGTCTAATGCTGAGTGTTAAGGAGTTCAAACCGCTTTACTTAGCAAGTGTGCCAGAAAAAGAAGCCTCTGCCTTTTGTGTGCACATGGGCCAGTGTCCTGTCTGAGAGGCCAGGGTAGCATGGTAGTCTAAGGACAGGGTGTTCTCCTGGCCAGGGTTGGTGGCAGACGTATTGAAGCTCAACAGTCCTTCTGGGAGTTTTGCAGACCCAACAAGCTAGGACCCCAGCACTAGAAGTTTCACCCACCACAAGCCAATCCCAATCCCCTGACCCCAGCACACCTCGGGCACTGGGCACACAATGGAGGTGCAAGTGTACCCCCAACCCTGAAGCCCTTTTCCATCTGCATTGTACCCTCCTACCCCACCCTCAGTTTCCATCTCACCTCTTGGTGCACACAATAGGGCCACAAACAAGATGAGTACACAGGACTTTGTAGTGTGATAACTGTTCATCCTCGGAGAAGGAGTGCACAGATAAAACCTGGGAAGTTGGAGTCAGTTAATAGACCCCAGTCACTTCCCTGGGCTCCCCCAGGACTCACGGCATCCAGTCCTCCCTCCCTCCAACCCTCCACACAGCTCTCCCCAAGGAATAGAAGCATGCCTACTTCTCTTATGCACCACCCACCCAGCTTTTCTTCCTAATCCCAGACTCCCACCCACAGTCCTATCCTGAGGGATCTTCCCTTTGCAAAATAGAAGCTCCCTCCTGTCACCAGTCCTTACTTCCTCTCTCTGACCAGGTTGCAGGCTCTGTGGAAAATCCTGTCAGATGTGGACTGAAGTAAGTACTTTCCCTCAGCTCCTCCCATGTGGCATCCTGAAAGGGAGGGTTTCAGTACTTAATTCTGATAGGACAACATGTTTATTGCTTATAAATTATCAAGGTTTGTTGCTGACCCGGTCAAGTCAGATTCATAGCAGCTGGGGAGGGAGGATCATGCAGTTGGGGAGGGAGGACCATGCAGTTGGGAGGACCATGGTGCTGGAGGATTAAGAGGGCAGAAGGGCAGGGAAACAATTGCTTTTGCCTTGGCATCCAGAATACAAGGAAAGGGGAAAACCTGCTCAGGCTTTTCCTGGTTTTTGTTTTGTTTTTTTTTTTCCTGTTGTTTTGAGACAGAGTTTGTCTGTGTAGCTTTGACTGTCCTAGGACTTGCTCAGTAGACCAGACTGGCATACACTCATTGCTATGAAAGGTATGATGCAGATGCTGCAGCTTCTGCAACCACCACCTGTCTCTTCCTTGTTTCTAAGTAGAGGGTATGGGCTGCAGTGGCTCAGAGCCCACTGCCCTCCTTCCTATAAGCCAGCAAACAACTGACAAATACCTGGAGACTGGCTCTGATGAGCAAGCCCTCAACATGGTCTGGTATCCACAAAGTGAGAGTCTTGGGCCAAGACCTAAGTGACAACTGGCATGCCAGTTATTAAGCAGTGTCTGATGTGTTTGAGTTATATATGGGGCTGCAGGTGCTGTGAGCATCTGGTAGCTAGAGCGAGGGGTGCTTTTCATAGCACAAGGCAGTTGTAAGTAGAGGACAAATTACCCCAGTGACCTTAAAGCCCAGAAGCCTCCATGAAGTAGCCACACGCTCATTCTCCCTGCTCTAGTTTGCATGCCCCTACACCTATGAGGTCCTAGTCTTATGTGTCCCACAAAGGACTGACTGGCATTTATGTCTGTGTCACATGGCAGAGTATTCTAATAATTAAAACCTTACTAATTCGCCAAATACTGATGTCATCTATGGCCCAGCAGGGCCCTCACAGCAAGCCAGAGTCTGAGTTTCCTAACCTCATGGAGCTTAGAGTCCAGTGCTAGTCGCAAGTAAGTGTCTGCAAGGCACTGATAAAGGTTAGAGAAGGAAGGCTGGACACAGAAAGAGACCTGAGCTGGAAATCATTCTGAGATAACACCACAGCAACAGAACAGGGATGCTCACAGGACAATGTTGTCCCAAGATGGACCACAGAATCAGCGAAGGTGAGTACATCCCGTTAAGCAGGCAAGGCTGCAGAGGGAAGAAAGCCAGAGGCTCAGAGAACAGCAGGCAGATTCTCCTGATGGAAGCCACAGGGCTGAAACACAGTCTTGGTCTTTCTATCATTTCTGGTTGGTTCCACATGTACATCCAACTCTAGTGTCAGTGTTCTGGGTTACACAGGATGATTGATCAAAGAAAGAGACATTGTGGCTGAAGTCAGGATTCTCAAGGAGCAGTGGGGAATCAGCCTTTCCAGGATTGAATACCAAACCCAAGGACTGCTTCAAATCCTTGGAGCCATCACTGGGGAATTTATGCAAGACAGTGATTATGTTAACCTTTCAGATCCTCTATCCTAGCACCATTACAAAATCCCTTCCTTGTTACCCTTTAATCTATGATGAGAGCCAACCATGTTTGTCATCAACACCTCATAACCCAGCACAGTGGTAGGAGGAAGAGAGCAAGCTAGACAAGTTTTCTGTGTAATTCAACTTTGTTTCAAATTTGGCTCCAGATTGTGGTAGTGGTCTTCTTCTCACCTCCTTATCTAACAGTGAGCAGCCAGTCTGAGGTTCATGACTATGGGGACGCATCTTTGCAGGAACCTGTCATATGACCAACGGGTC